ACTCAGTCAGAGTTGGAATAATAAAATGTTTACGCTATGTTTGCCGTCTGTGCACGAGCGTCCGGCTTTGTCGGCAGTTTGGCAGGCGCGAAAATGTTGACGTAACTACGGTCAAGTACTCTGGTCTTGCTGACTACAGTTAACTTATATATAAATGAAATAAATTTTACAATTTACAAAAATTTAAAAAAAACCCTTCAAAAAAATAAATAAAATTTTAAATTTAAAAAGGGCAGCTTAATTTTTAGAGAGTTGCAACATACTCCCTCAGCTGTTAACACCCAACTAGAAGTGATCAGACCTGCCAACTTTACTTCATTTTCCAAATTTTCAATCAATTTTCCTAACTTTAAATGCTTGCGAATTTTCCTCGTTTATGATTTTTAAACACGCCCGGAGCCCCCTTAAACAGGTAAAAATTTCATCAAAATCGGCCCAGCCGTTTACGAGTCTATAGCAAACATACACGGTCATTTATATATGTATAGATTTAGATTTGGTGAAAAGTTATGTAGTTGGTGAAGACTTATTCATTTTGCTGGTGATAATTTACAAGTCGCCACCTATTTTCAGAAAAAGCATGTTGGGTAACTGATTGTGACGTCACCGTACATGTGAGGCCTTATAACCAACATTATAAAAAGCAAAATAATGTTCCGATTTGAAAAAACTTTTTAATATCACTTCATATTAACAAAAATATGTTATTAAAGGTCAAACCAATATTATTATTATTATTAATATTATGGACGCCACAGTTTTCTGCGGTTTGTGGGCGTTGGATGCTGTAAAGAAGGGACCTCAAGAATCTGGCTGCTTAATCTCAATGGATGGACGGATGGACGGACATGGCTTAATCGACTTCGCTATTGATACTGATCAAGGATATATAAATGTCGCAACGTGATTCCTAGTATTCGTAGGCGAGTACATTTTCAAAGGCAATATGAATTCGGGAAATTACACGCTTCTGTTTTGATAGATGATATTGAGCGAAAAGCACGGCAGCAGAGGCAGAGACACTATGCTGCTGAGTGAGGTCCGATCGTAGATATCAAGAATCTTGAATAAGACAGAGAGGACAATGTTTTGAGGACTCGAGTGAGTATGCGAGCGCCAACGACACAACACGGTGTATGAAATAGTCAGTTGAGCTTAATGAGTCTACGCTATCGCGGAGAATATAATAAAAGATGAACCAAGTACCCTGGGCGCCGATATATATATATTATATATGTATTTACAGTGCTTCTACTATTGCCAGTAGCTCTGCGGAGAACACTGAAGAGTAGTGTGGTAGGTGATAAAGTATGATGCATTCAGTTTCGCTTGTGATTGCCAGGCTAGTGATGCCGTTTTCTTGAGATCCGTTAGCGGTATGTCTATTTTTAGAAGGCTTGTGTTCCAGGGCGGTGTGGTTTGTGTAGATGGTGTTAATTGTTTAAATTGGTGGACTTGTGAGTATTCTATAATACGATATGTTGTTGATTTGTATTGTGGACGTTTTGGCGGGCGATATGCTTTGAACATTTTAATTATTGGTGGGGCTTTGGCGTTAACTGATTTTTGACATATGGAACTCTCGTCTGTCTTCTAAGGCGTCTGCATTTGCTTCGCAAAGTATGTTATTTGTTGGGGTGGTTCTGAAGGCTCCGAGGGCAGTTCTAAAGGCTTTGTTGATTGTTGACTTTACTTTGCGCAGTATTGTGTAGATTGGAAGACTGTAGTCTCCTTTTTAGACGATGGTTGCTTTTGTTACGTTTAGGCGTGTAGATGTGTTGCAGTTAAACATTGCGCTTGAGGGACAGTTTTAGGTTGTTGTTTAGTAGTTCCGTGTGAATTTTCCATCTATATTTAGGATTTTTAATGATGTTACTTCTAGCATTTGCGTGTTTCCTGTTGTTATGGTGGAGTTACAATTATGTTTTCTGCAAACATGGAGGTGTTTGCCTTTTGTGGTAGATAACATGGCTCCGGAGTATTCTGCCCAGTGTGTAATAGTGGATATTATCGGATTTAGGTTTTTTTTGTTATTTAGGATTTTAGGATGATCTGCTAATGTTCGGGTGAAGTGTGAGTTTTTCTGATACTAATATGCAATCACAAAATGACCAAGGTGAGTGGGGAGTCTTGAGAAATGCCGTCTTGCATTGGTTGAAAGGAGGAGATGCCAGAGTCACTGTGCATTAGTAGTTTTCTATTTGTCATGCAGATTCGTACGTAGTTAATAATTTTTGGGCCAGTTTTCCAGGATACAAGTTGGTCAAGTATAGAGTGGATGCCAATTCTATCGAAGGCCTTTGCGAAGTCTACGGATATGATAAATGCGTGGTTTTTTCTTCAGAGAGCTCGTGCTAAAAGGTGGTCTATGAGTAGTAGACTGTCTATATGGAATAGTTTGTCGTTTATTACAAACCACCACAGCCGTTTTGCTATTATTTTGTCAAGTAGTTTTGCTAGGTATAAGTTTAGTGAGATCGGACGGTAAGCAAGATTTTGTCTGTGTTTGGTTTTAGTATCAGTATTATTAAGCTATTTTTGTATATTTGTGGAATGTAATTGTTTAGTATGGCGTTTTGGAGGTTAATAATTCTGTTTTTTTGTTGTTTTAATGTGGTTAATGCTGCTGAATATTCTATTGCAGTGCTGCTGAATTACTTATTGCTGGTTTTCTTTTTCGGTTGCTCTTTTTCTAGGAATATGTGAGAGATTAATAGTATTGCTGAGTGACGTTTGTTTGTGATTAATAAAGGTGCTTGAAAAATTGCTGTCGGAGGAGGTTTCTGAGAAATTAATGCAGAAGAGCTGAGCAATTTCAACTTTGTTATTAGTGTTTTGTTTTGTGGATGGGTTGAATATGTTGCTCCAGACGTATTGTCCGAAAAGTGAAGAAAAGCCCCGAGGTATTTTGTCCAAAAATAGTTGCGGAAATTGAGAACGAATTTGGCAAAAAATATTGCACAGGTACAGTTCGGAGCACTTTGCATAACCATAACTTTAATAATCGAGTTTCTAGAAATAAGAACTTAATTAGTGCTAAAAATAAGTTGGCACGCGTAAAATTCGTCCGATTTCGGTCTGGAACGACGTTATATTTAAGGACGAATCCATATGTTATATATTTGAGTCCCATGGGAGGAAATATGTTTTGCGGCGTCCCAACAAAAAACAGAAAAGCAGCGGCTAAGCACGGCGGTGGTCCTGCTATGGTTTGGGCCTGTATGACTAATCATGGATGCTAATAAATATTGAACTATTTTCAAAGAAAATTTGGTGCAAAGTACAGAAACTTTGGGAATAAATGATAGATTCCGATTCTACCAAGGTAAAGACCCAAAGCGCACTGCTGGCAATGTAAAGCTTTAATTGGTCTGGAACTTCCCCCATGTGGTAAAAAAAACCAGTACAGTCTCCTGACTTAAAAGTGATAGAATATTTGGGAAATATTATATTTTAGTCATGTCAATTCGGAAAAAGCAAATTTCCAACAAAAATGAACTGAAAGGAAGAATGGCTTGAAATTCCCGTGGAAATAAAAAAAAAATTGGTCAAATCCTTCAAAAATCGTTTAAATCCGCCAAGAAAAATAATAGAGGTCAGACCCATTATTAATTGCGTCTGAAGTACCCTATTTTTTAGTTAGTATCATCACATTTTTTGATATCTCTTCTAGTTTAGTAGCGGTGTCACTCTTGCACTAAATACGACAAATATTTCGGGTTGTTATCTTATTGATATACAAGACGCTGGATTCTGTCCAAGTTTAAGGGCACATGGAATTCAATTTTGACCTAAAATGTATTTATACATAAATTTATTAATTTTATCTTCCGTAAGGACCATTAGACCCACTCCACCTGCAGCTATACACCCATAAACTATCACATTCTTGCCAACGTGCTTAATTGGTTGGGCTCAAGTTTTTTCCTTCATGGCTTCATTTGCCTTTCGTCATAATTTAAAAGGGCCGTCGAGACCTTAATTATTAATTTTTGATTCGTCACTAAAAATACCGTTTTCCCAAAATGAGTCCGGCCTGCTTACATGCGATCTCCAAACACATTTTTTTGTTATAATCAACGGTCAATGGTTCTTTACGAGCACCTCTACCATATATACCCGCATTGTACAGGGTGTTTCCGATGGTTTGGGAGCAAACTTTTCTTTTGAAAGCTTCTCTATGGTTTATAGAATTGTTGTAGATGTTGTTCAGAGATTTTGTAATGCTGTAGTTCTTTATGCCAATTGAGTGGTGCCAATATCTTGGACCTTCCATCTTTTCCATGTTCTAAGTTCTTCAGTTTACGTGTTTTTTTATCCCACTTTGGATACACCTTTAAGGTGACTTGTTAATTATTTTACCAATTTCGGGATAACTGCGATTCTCCAAATATAATTTTATTATTGTTTTTTAATGTTCAGCATAGCACACCGAAGCTTCCTCCGAAGTAGAGTTCAAGAAAGAATCGCGGATTACCTTTGCTTTCAAGTCAAGAATAAGAAGTGTACGACTAATTTTTGTGCGTAAAAATTATTTGTGATATTAAGGAAATGATCTAATAAACTTTTAAAACTTTTTAATATTATGTTTTAAATATTTGCTCGAATTTTTTATCTTTCATTTGAGATATTAAGGAATAAGCTTGCAACTCTTGGGTGTACGAATAAATTATTTGCTGTGACACCGTAGGTCGAGGTGATTTTTCCTAATGCACTGAGTAAATGCTTGGCCATAAGCTTTGAGCGCTCGCGGGCCTATTTTTTTTTTTTGGAATTGGTAAACCTTTTCTTTCTCTCTGGGCACAGCTGCAAGCCAATACAAAAGTGTCACTATATATGTACACGTTTTGTGTTAGTAAATGCTCTGCAGTTAGACGTATATAAGCACCCCTTATTTAAAGTGTAAAACAAAACGTAGACCCACATACACACATACATATGTATATGCATGATGACTTAGGTTCTTTTATCGAGACAGGATTTAAAAAAAACAATGAAACTACATTTTAATATTATATACATATATTTACGTTTTCTTCAGTTGCTCATATAAATTGACCAGTTTATGTAGTCGGATACTAGCTTGGTTCCGAAATTGCTCTGATTTAATTTGATGCAGATCGTGTCCTTTTGTATTCACATAGAATGGCGAAATGTTTTTTTTCTTTAAAACAATTTTATTTCCTAATGTGAAATGCATATAATCAATTTCGTGGTTGTTAAGAGGGAGAGTTGGATTATAAAATGGCGTTCCTTTCACTTCAGTTAATCTATTTCTCGCCTTTTGCTGCTCAACGATGTTATAATTTGTTTCATTTGCAATACTTTGATAAGACCTTTGGGACATAAGACCAATAAAAAATGCCTTTACAATATGCTGCAAGTTCGTAGATCCCTCAATTTTGGCGTATAAATCTTGTATACCTATTACTTTACAAATTGTTTGTATTGCCCGATGGCATACTAAACCATACCCATTAGGTTTTTTAAAACAATAGATTTTGGTTTTTCCGAAAGCTGTACGAAAGTCATGATAAATAGTCCTATTTTCACAAAGACTTATGCTCACTAATTTTTGTGCCGCTCGATTTTTCGCCTTTCTAAGAGCCGTTCGAACATCTGTTGCTTTTACAGTAGCAAATCCAGCCAAGCCGTTACCGTTTCCCGTTATGGATAAGACTGAATATCTTCTTTTCCTTCCCATATTTCCTTTCATAATGAACACAATTTTGTTTTCCAAAACCCGAGTGTCGAATGATATAAAATCCTCCTCGCCAACAGCTTCAGGCGCTCCAATACTTCGCCCAGGCATTTTGCTTCCAGACCAACCTCTGTCTATTGGATTTAATTTTATCAATCTAAAATTTCCAATTGAATCACGAAATTTCATGATTCTATTTTCTCTATCAGAGTTCTCGACAAGTTTCTGATGATAAATGAGTTCACTTCCACGTATGACGGGTGAATTTAATCCAGGCCAAATGCGACCACTCATCCCAAAGCCGATAGTTTGGCCTTTGTTGAGATCCTTTGCAATTTTCTTTCCACTTCCTTTCCCACGACCCCTTTTTTTTCCAGCATTGCTTACTGCAGTTACTCCACGCCAAATGTCTTCAGCAGGTACTAAAACGAAAAAAAATCACAGGTTTAAGTCAGGGACCAAGCTAAGATGTTCTGAAATATAAATATAACATTTCCCAGAAACACACGTTACTCCGTTACCGATTTCAGCACCGTATGTTGCTAAACTTATCATTTTCTTACAGGCATGTTTGTTAATTGACAGTGTTGTCCCTTTTCGTGCGAGGTGTTAATAGTTTTGAAATATTGTTTGGAATTAAATAGGTTTAAAAAATATTTAAGTATAGACAAAAAACGAAAATATTTATGTTCAATCTAAAACTTTGACCTGAATATAATAAATATGGATGGATTTTTACACCCGTTACTCGTATAGTAAGAGGGTTTACCAAATCCGTTTAAAAGTAAAGTGGATCGCAGCTTATTTCGTGCAGCTACCAAAAAAAAAGTTATTCCTAATTTGCGGTTTTTTTTCTTTTAATTTTATATAAAGTCCGAATATATATGTCTATGAAAAGATAATTAAATATGCTTTTTATACCATTTTTAATTTTGTTTTAACCATTTTATTTGGGGTTAAAGTGGGATAAATAAACTATGTACTTATGCTTGGCATGCACGTATGTATGTATACTGGTATACATACATATATATGTACTAATGTACATGAATATGTATGAATGCACAAGCTTTTATTTCATTGAAACTTAAGCCGCTTTAAATTAACGCAACACCATTTATTTTTACACTTACGTTTGTTAAAAAAACTAGTATTACGTAAAGCGGCGTAGTTAGGTATAATAAGTTGCTTTAAAAATAGGTGTTTGCCATGAGCATTCGCCAAAAGCCTATTGCACGCTGCATTGAATAATCGACCAACTGACACATAACTCATTTTGAACAATTCTTTTTAATATAAAGTATTTGGATTGTAAAACACATGTGCTATTTAACTCAATTAGAAAAGTATATAATTTTTGTCGAAAGTGGAACAATAAGAATAAGTACAAGACTTTTTTTTATAAGATTAGCGCTATACTTTTTAGATGTGAAACGTCCACAGCTCATTTATATACACTTCTGGTCCTGGGTTAGACGCACTCAGTTTTTCAAACAAATTTGTTTTATATTTATTTTTTTAATGATTATTGAAAAAAAGTGAATATGCAAAAACCTTGGTTATTTAATAATAAGCAACTTAATATAAGGCACATTTTTCTTGGTTAATAGAATAGACGCACTTAGCTTAATATATTTTTTTTAAAGTAACTTTTTTTAACTTAAATTTGTAGTTGGTGTTAATATTTGATTTATTAGAAATAAAAAAAAATATTTCAGCAATGAGTACTGCCTTCTTTGTTACCAATAACTTCAAATATCCTGTCCATCATAAAATAATACAGGGAATCTATGTATTTCAACGAAATCTCGCTCCAAGCACGTTTAATGGCTGCAGTTAATATTTCCTTATCTTCGTATTGCTTTCCTCCTTCGTATACCTTCCGCGTTAGCCAGCCCCAAACATTTTCAATTACGTTAAGACCGGAGAATATGGTGGCCAAGTCATGATATTAATGTTTTTACATCTAAATTAAAACGTTTTTCATCAGTAAAAACAACAGAACGCCAATCATTAAGCCGATTGTCAGATTGAACATCCCACGTCATGTATTCTTTCGCGAATCGAAGCCGTTTTTCTTTGCGTATTGCATTTAGTGGAGGTTTTTTCTTGATATTTAGACGCTTTAGGTGGTCTGCATTTCTGATTGTACGCTGAACAGTTAAAAGGCTTGCTTTTACTCCGGCTAATTCCCTAATCTTAGCTGCGGACTTAGTCGAATTTGATGCAATTCTAACAATTTGTCGTACTGTTCGTTCAGAATGTGCTCTTTTTTTCCTTTAAAGTTTTTTCCATATTCCTCTGGATCTTTTAAATATCTATCAACAATCCTGGAGCTGCGATATATCTTTTTGGCAATTTTTCGATTGGACAGTCTTTGCGAGTGAAAAAAGTCTACTTTTTGTCGTTCTAATAAGCTTATAACACCAGATTTTCCCATTTTTACTTTTGATATAGCTCTAAAACAATTTATTTGTTTATTTTTAATATTTTCTCAATACAAACAACTGTACTTGTTTACGCAAGACAATGAAATCTAAAGTGCGTCTATTTCAATGACCAACAGAAAACACGCTTTAGAAATTTCTGATATCTTCGAAGGTACAGTTATTTTTTCGCAAATCAACCAGCTGTGAGCACATATTTTTCGAACAAGATTCGAACTCTGATAAAAAAAGCTTTTTGGACAATTAGAATAAGCATTATTATAAATATAGCATTTTATTTAAAATAAAAGTTGGTGCGTCTAACCTAAGAACAACAGTGTATATTAATTAGGATTAAATGGCAGAAATAAAATTAAATCGGCAAAATGTGTTTGTCGTAGCGCTAAGAACCATATGTATGTTTTTGTTTTCATTATAATGAAAAGGCAAATGCACAAAAAAACATGGTGATATGGTAGAACAACGCTGACTGATTAGTTTGAAACAGATATCGATAGTCCTGCAAGGTTTTTAAGATCTTCATATATACAAATTTCAAATCGCTTTAAATTAAGACTCAAGACTCGTGGAGTAAAGGTACAAATGTATGTAACAGGTGGAATGAAACGATTCCGACCCCATAAAGTATATAAGTTAATTTCCACAAAATTTAAACACTAGAATTGTTAATTCAGGCATTATATTAATTTGGAGTTCAAATCGGGACTGATTTATTTATGTAGAGCGTCCTTACCTCATTTCAATGTCGTGGGACATGACAATTTTATTCGTGACAAGGGTTAGCTTACGCTCAACCTCGTCATAGTATGGCTTCGGTCACTTTGGCGAACCGCATTAAGCTGTTGTCGCAACAGCCTCAATAATTTTTGCCAGAATGGCATCGAAATTAAGTACAGTGTTTTGTGATGGTGAGTGCCTCACCACTGCCTCACTCACCACTCGTCTTGCTCACCGTTAAAATCTGGTACTGTCTTTATTACGTGGATCGGTATATCGCATGGGGGTGGCTGTACTGAGACTCTTTGGTAGGCCTCCACCTGCGGGGTTTCTACGCGCATGTTTTGTAACTGCATATTAACGGAAATTTTGAGCTTCAAATTCTGCTCGGAGTCTATCTTCCTGTTGCGCTAAGGCGCCCTGGATAATGTTTTACAATTCGTTCGATTATGTCTTCTTTCTCTTTGATTTGAGCCTGTCTTGGTCTAAAGTCCCGGATCTCTTCTTCTTCACTATCACTCACGACTTCCTTTTTAATTTCTCTATACGGACCTGGAAAGTTCATTAAAACCTTGATCTTATGCCACCTAATTCATACGAGAGTCAATACTAATAGCCAAATATTCCGTTCGGCTGGCATAACACTTTAATATATTTTATATTTATTTAATTTATACAAATATGTATATTTTCACAAACCTATAGGGTGCTTGTGAAGTAGTAGTGAGTGTCAAGATAGATGGGAATTTGCGGCCGGGCTGGTGGTGAATGTAATTCTGGCAGTTTGGCTTTTCCACTAGGGCAACACATCGTTCTCAAATTTGAAGCACTCTTTCTCGAACATTTTGTTCTCGACTTTCCCGTTGTTCATGTGTCGCAGACGAAAGGGCCAGAGCATCGCGAACTCTAAAACTTTCTAACCCTACTTCCCATCGTTCAGGTGATTCAGGCGAACGGGTCTCAACGGCATGCACTCGTAGACTTTCTTGCCTTAATGCTCGTTGCTCGCCTGATTCTGAGGCTCCTTGATTCTTGAGATGTATATTCGCAAATTGCATTTTGCTTTGGTGGCATATTTCTCGAAGCAAATGCGTTCGAAAGTTAAAAAATATACATATATAAATAATATATATATATATATAATATTAAAGAAGAAGAAAAATAAAAACTTAAATGAATTTCGGAGGGAATCTTAATAAAAAGATGAATTGCAATAAAAATAAAACTGTTAAAAAAACTTCAATTTCATACGGCAACGTCGTGTACGTTTATAAAGAAATGTACTCAAAATATTCAATTAAATTGTTGTCTATTTTTTATGGCTCTATAAAAAGAACAAAAAACAAGAGGAAAAGCAATAGTCGAGTGCCGCAACTATAATACGACTATTCTACACATTTTTAAATATTCACTTTGCTAGTGGAAATTTACAAATCGCCAAAAAAATTATCAGAAAAAACATGCTGAGTAACTGATAGTGCCGTGTAAGTGTAAAATCTTATAACCACCAAAACTGGTAATTTTTTTTGGGCGTTGGTACATTGGATATCTTTTTTCATATTAGTAAATTTTTCGTTCGTGTTCGCGATCAAAAAAAAAATATGGTCAGCGGAATGCAAATTTTTGTCGGAAAACGACAAACAAAATTCCAGATGAGCAAAAAAAAAAAAGAAATTAAATAAGAATTTTAAAAAATGTTGGTTCCAAATTTTTTTTGGATGGCAACCGTGTTCCCATCTGACAAAAGGTGGCGCTTTGGGAATTTCCAGTGGCAAAATATATATTTTTAAATTGTCTAAAACAGTAATCTTTTTATCTTTTAGTAGCGGCAGTGGACTAAAGCGTTTTTCCTTGTCATATATAAGTTAAGGAGTAACGGCAGGTCGTACCTTTTCCTGGTGGTTATTGGTTCACCCTAGAATGGAGCTAAGACTTCGGGTACTTGCCTGTGCACAATATGGGCTCCGGTGGGTGTGCAGTTGCCTTGCCGACATGCAGCATAGTTTAAGCTTTGTCTTCGGGCCCCGACATAGGCAGATAAATCGATGTAACGGGCTTGGAGACATTGCTTAGATTGCTTTGGCTCTTAGTTTTTAGTCTTCTTCGATTTCGTCGACTTCTTCGTCGTTTGGGAAGATGCCGTTTACCGGACGTTGACCACGGCACCATTGACGTCAGCTTGGGACCCCCATTATGTCATAACCCATTTGACACCCAACTGTGAAAAGAATCCATGACCCCAAGGAGAATCTGTAAGTGATGTAAGTGATTTAATAAGACTTTAAAGAAAAAGAGAGAAATACGCTGGCAAGCACAATTTTTCTTTGAGAAATTTTTTATTTTAATTTTGCATACATAATAAATAGCAATTGTGAGAATAAATGCATATTAATAAATGAATAAAAATAAAAATACATTTTGAAATTTAAAAGTAAATATTCAAATAAAAATTTTTGAAGTCTTTTGAACATTGTTTCTTTTTAAAAAGAATATTTTTATATTATATATAATTTTATTTTTTAATTTTAGAATACTAGAATATTTTGCCTTTCAGTGAATGTGGAGTGTCAACCACCTAGGTTATTCTAGATGAGCTTTCGGGGCCCAGATAGAGAAGTGAAACGGGAATTCGAAAGTGAAAGTGAAGAAGCCTTAGTCCAGAAAAGGTACAGGTTGAGAGTGGTTGCATAATGAACGCAGCCAACATGGAAGGTATTAGTCAGGTTGAGTTAGCCCAACAGGAACAAAGACTTAGGGTTTCAAAAACAGATTAACGCAGTTAATCAATAGCTACAAAAGCTGCGAGTGGAGACGTCGCAAGTTGAGGCTTGTGGTACAGTGCGACATTCCGTTACATAAAGTCAAGTCAGTTCCTAAGATTAACGGGGTACAAGATGGTATGTAGCATGGCGGCAGTCAGCCACCGACACATACGAGCTAACACCTTCTTTAATTTCGCCGCCATTTGTCTAGGTTAGACTGCTCTTTTGCAGAAAAGACGTCGATGCGGCTATTACGGCAAGGCTTGAGGCAGTTTGTCAAGGGGATAAAAACCTAATGTATTACGACGAGGTCGAACAAAAGCTGACGTTCTTCAGAAATAAGATTGTCATGACACACGACACGAAGAGAGCAACGCTCCTCAACACAGAGGTTAGGGTATTCACAATAGAGTATGATAGCGACTCACCGGACT